CAGGGCAACACTCATTGCATCTGAACAACAACGTAATACCTCTCTGGAAAGAAAGGTCACTTACCTGGCACTGCTTTGCCACAAGATGTACACTCGCACTGGAAGCGTGCCTGTATGCAAACACTGCAGGTACAGTGTCAAGATTTCATGAAAGGGAAGAGGAGCAAACATTCTTTTTTACTGTCAAATGAAGTCAATGTTTTCCATACCCTGTTTCTTGGCAGTGAAACACAGGACAGGGCTGTGACCGACATATAGACAACACGACCTCAGTGGAAAGCCAGAGTTTACCCATGTCTGTACCTGTGTCTCAGGGGAAGGTGCAGGCTGCTCATCTAAACTTTCCTATCAGATGCGACAGCTATCACAACCAGCAATGATGTGCTCTTCCAAGGTTCACTCCTGCCTTTGTAATAGACCAGGACTTCACCACCCTCAGACTGGGATACTCTATCAACCGTGTGGATGATGCCCAACCTGTACCATCATCAATGGAATTAAAACTGCATGTCTTAACATTGTCTCCTGCTCTTTGGACAGAGCAAGGCTCTTCAGACTCCTGGTCCGATTTAGATGCTGACCTGTTACAGAGCTCAATGCACAGCTCACAGACACAGGTCACCACATTCAGACATCAGCACCTCCAGGGATGTTGATGCAGATGGAAACCCATTCCCTGAGGCTCAAGTGCAAATCCTTCCCAACCTCTTGAGCTATTCAGGTGGCTGAACACTGATGCAAAGCAGATCCCCTCTTCAGCCAGTGCTGCCATGAATCTATATGTGCTTATCTTATTCTATTTATCTCTAACAAACCATCAAACACCTACCTATGTGATACCAGATTGCTGCTTGCTCATTACCAACATGAAACTCAAGTGAGAAACTGCCTGAATGCACAGCTTTTCTTCTGAAATATTTTGAGGTGCTAACTTTTGTAACATTCAAAATTGTTTACTTAAGGTTCAGAAAAATTCAGCAACCAGCCTGTATGATCTTTTTGTTTCTCCAGGTTGAACACTTACATTAAAAGAACTTAACAGTAATCCTAAATTAATATATCCCTTGAGTTTCCATGACAGTTTCAGACCTTCCGCTCTACTCACCTGTGAAAATGAGTTGTTACTCAGAGTAACTCTACACCAGTTTGGATATCATACATGTTCTATATATGTACATACCTTGATATTTAAAATGTGTTTTCTTTTTTATACAAAAATGGATCATTATTAGGTCTAGCAGGAGTAGTAGAGGTAGCAGTATCGTATCTTTCCAGGAAAAACTCATTCAATATCCTCTTGGGGCCAGCAGACAGTTCCCTATATTCAATCACCACTTTGAAGACCACCATCAGAGGTCATGAGACTCACAACATGTACTAAGTGATGTGCAGCTGGCACAGGGAAGCAAAGAGATGCTTTATGTTTCTTTGCCCCTTTTTGTCATCTTACAATACGACCTCTAAATTAGAAATCCTTATTTTCATCAGATCTGTATTTCACACATGTGGAGGTGGTAAGCATGATAAATTAGGCAACCAGGATGATAAATTGTCATTTCCTCCACCAGCCATACTTCTGCCCATCTAAGACTTGAAAAATGCCAAATGCCTCAATATCTTTGCAGAAATGCTTAGGGCTAGACAGAGAAGATTCACTGTTGGTCTGCTTGTTCCACATGAAAAATGTCTTTATTTTTAAGGCTGATAACTTTGAGGACCTTTTATTATCACTGACATAACTTTCCTTTATCATCTTCTCATCCTCCAAAATGTGGGACGTACGAGAAGATACTTGGGTTTATTCTGATACATTATGCTTTTTATGTGAAATAATTTTTCTTAAATGTATCTATACAAAATTATGTTACAAATGTGACCACACTGATTCTGGTCACTAAGAGCTTGATGAAAATAAAATAATTGCTGTTATATTAGAACCTTCTCCACAATATTTCTTATAGATAGTAACTGAGGCAGAGGCTTTATAGGCATTCCATTACAGATTTTTCCTTCTGAAAACATCAAACCCCATAACTGTCTTGGAAATAAAAGACCAATTAAAAAATGCAAATCAAAATAAATATTCTTAAATATGCTCCCCAGTGTGTTTATCAACAGGACTATATTCATGTTGGCAATCTTAGTTGCGTGGAGTGACTAATTAAAGTAGCAAGAGCATCATCCATCTCAATTTGTCGTTTTCAACTTTTGCTGTCATAATTCAGTGTTTATGCAAACTCTTGCCTAGAACAAGAGGCCTATCACAAGGCAGAGACTCCACTGTGCTGTTGTTACATGTAAATATACTAGTATAAGCTCTGTGGAAAAGAAAAAAATCCATTAGATACAATTACATAAAATTTGGCACAAATGCTTTTTTTTTTCCCCCATACATTTTGCGTAGAGCTTCTCCATTCAGCAAATAATTTAGGGTCAGATTTATCAGAATTTCAATTTCGCTGAATAATTTTAATACCTGATATTTATGGAACCCACAAACTGCTTCACATTGCTAAGAAAAATTATTAGTACTGCGGAAGAAACATTTTACCCTGATGAATTCAGAGAAACGGTACTGTACCAGCATTTCACAGGAAATGCCATTAGTATCTTCAGGAAAGCAACCACAAAAAGCCCTGCAACTATACCCTGAAGAGACAGATGTTTTCATCAGCGATACAGGCACATTTTTCCCAATTTTTTTCTTCTAAGCTTACGTCAACTTCAAACACACATGAATCTGTGGCATTAATAACAGCAAGAAGGCTGTGGAAATGTGGAAAGTTAAAAATTTTTGTTGTTCCTTGTAAAGTTTATAGAATTTCCTGCCCAAATTTATTTGACTGAACTTACGAGGATGCACGTCTAGGTTACTGATCAGGTTCTCAATCTTTCACTCTCCAGCTCCTTGTGTGTTTTGCACAGCTATGGAGGCTGGGGATTCTGGGGCTGCTAAAGGATTGTGAGAAATACTTCCTATGGAAGATCTTAGTAAAGTAAAAAACAACAACAAAAAAATCCATTGGGGACTGTTACACCGATGAGTAATTTAAAGATTTCTTTAAGGCACAGCAGTGGTAGAGCTCAATATCACCATAAAAATTCTGCCTGTAAACTTAAGACCAGATTCTGATCTAATAGCTCCATTGATATCAGCTGTGTATTTCTAAGAAAATAAATAATTTATTTTTTAAAAAAAAAGTAATCTATACTTAAGCAAGTGTAAAGTAATTAAAAATATCTCACTGCAAGGAAACGTGAGACATCACACTAAATAAATTTCATTTACGATTTCAAACTCATGTTATTTGTATACTCACTGGTTAAAATTTAGATCTACCCGAGTATTAAAGATACGAGATTCTCTGCCAGAAAATTAACAGTAATGTTTCTGAAAAGACCAACTACTTACGCCTCTTAACAACTGTAATTACACAAAAATTGAAGGCCAAATCCATCTCAGGTCATGTCAGCAGAATAAAGGCAGAACCTGTGGAATCATAGCTCTATGGTATGAAACTATTTAATACAGTATTTTTATAGAAAATAGAATTGTTTAGAATTCTATTGACATAATATACAGCTATATACCTAACTTATCCACATATGCAGAGCTGCAAAAACATTCAAATAGAAGTTGTATAAAAAGCAAAAATTGTCATTAAGAAAAGGAATTTAGCTGTTTTTACAAAGTAATGTTCTTTCTCTTCTCTTCAATTTGCTCTTCTATAGTTTTCATTTTATGAGTTAAATTTAAAAATTAGTCAACACACTGAATTAAGTCTGTAGATTTTCATTTAAATAAATCAGTCAACAATTTTTTTTATAAAGTATTTAACACTTCATTGTAGAAACATAGGCAAAATGACTATTATAACCAAAATGAAAAATACTGTTCAATTTAAAAAAATGTACTTAAACAAGAACCTGAAAAAGTTTATGATATGCATAACATTGTTCAAGCAAAATTGCACTAGTATTACATAAATCAAGAGTTTTATAAAGGCCCCAATATGGCAAAGTTTAGAAATAGGTAGTATGCATGCACAATAGTACAACAAAAATCTTTTATAAAACAGCAGTTATTTTTGTAATGCTTGTACAAAGGGAATAAAGAGCAACCACAAACATATTTAATCTGTTAGGTTAATATATTATGATAGCTAAAAGTCAGTCATGTCTAGCAGAGGAAGGAAGAGTCCTCTGCAGTATATGTGTGAATAAGTCTTTTGTGCCTTTAAAGTTATGTATAAAATATTTTGATTCAGTTCAAACCTGAAAGAAACTGTATTCTTTATTTCCACCAAAATTAAAAAAGGTGAGTCAGAATTTTCCTCTTAGCAACAACAGAAAGCAGACCAGGTCAGAGCAAGTGCTGGAAACCGATACTGATGCTTTTCACTTTCGATAATTGGATATTGATAGTTAATTCAGATTACTGAGATTTGGTCTTAGGTAAGGTTTCATTAATATGCAATTTGGTTGTGTTTTACCTCAGCGATATCACAGTTTATCTTCATATAAAGAAACTGCTCTGTTTTGTATTTTTTAGTACCTCTAAACAGGTATGACTTTTTTCTGATTGTCAAAACTGAATGCTGTGATCATCTGTGTGTGCTTAAGGTTTGGGGTTTGGCTTTTTCCCTACTGCTTGGTATGTGTTGGGGAATTATTAATCCATAAGTAATGCATGTGATTAAGTGAATAAACATATAATGCATGTGTAGGCAATGCCCTCTTGTGCTCTAGGGTGGCTACTGTCCTACAGGACTGTTGGAGTTCATATGCTTTGTCCCACAGCAAGTAAGGTTTCAGCTTCCAAGATATACCGTTACTATGTTCTATAAGGTTTTAATAAATACAAAGCTTGTTTACATGGTATATATGTTTAGTATATCATGTACAGTCACTGAATTTCTGAAACATAATCATTGTGTTCATGCAGATCATTAGATGTTTCATTTCTATAGTCTTGTTTACTTCTTGGCAACCTAAAGCTAATTTAAAAGCAAGTTATGTTTGTTTGTGAAAAGTTATCTAGCTTCATCAGGATCTGAAGAGAAATTCTAATGGGCACAAAGAAGAGAGTAGACCATTCAATCATTCTTTCACCATTTAAAATAAACAAAATTACACACTGTACTACAGCTTCCAGACTACATAATGAAAAAGTGCAGATACCATCTTCATTGATTAAGTAGAACCAAAAAAGTTCATAGAAAATAGATTGCTCATTTTCACGCTACAAACGAATATGTTGTTCGCAATTTTAACAAATTTAAAGGTGTGTTATTTCAGCAGCATTGTTGTAAATTGTACCGTAGTGCAGTTTCTTTTTCATAAAAATACCTTACAAATGGTCAGTCAAAAGTCATCAGCAAAAGAAAAACCCAGAAAACAATCAACAAAACAAAAAACAGAGGTAATGCTGATGCCAAAACAATTATAATACTGTTGGTACATAGAAAAGTAATCCTTATATTTTATACATTTATACAGAGTATAAAAGGTAACAGCAGATTATGCCACAGTCTCCCTTATCCCAATATCTATTTTCTTTGGAAGGAGTTCTCTTCTTTCATCGACGCTTGCTAAGGAGTTTCGACAGTTTTGTCCATCCATGTATAACTTTGCATATACTGGATTGGCGTAATTTGTTGGCTGCAGAGAAATTAAGCTCATATTAGAACAGTTGGATTAAACAAAAAAAAAAACCAAACTTTTATGGAAATGGAAATGGTTTTGTTAAAGCAAGAACAAGTACACATAAAATATAACTGGACATATTTAATAGATACCTGGACTTCTGCAAACCTGATAATGAGTTAATTATTTAGTTAAAAGTTTATTCATGATGAGACATGCTATTAAAATAATCAATGACATGACATGCAGCATATTATGACATTAAAACCATAAAAGCAATGACAAAAATTAAAACAAAAACTTTGAAAAATGTCTCTGGAGTTGACTTGTCCACCTTATTACACTGGAAGATTTCAGAATAGATATGAAGAAGTTTATAGAGAAGGTGCACTGTGAGACCATGTGACAAGTTTAACAGTAGAAAACTGCAACCAACAGTTTCCATATATTACCTGTTCTAAGACATCAGCATCCCATCAATAGCTGACCATGTTTTCGAATTCTGTGGCCCAAATATACAACATGATTTGACCAAAAATTCAATACTTTTGTAATGTAAATTAAACTTTAATAATAAACCAGCACAACTGTTAATATATCATAGTAGTTACAGATTGAGAAGTATTTTCTCAATAGTTTGGGTAGTTTGTAATTAAAAAAATCTACTGAAATGAGTGGTACTTCAGTATAGGACAAGTCCATTTTTAATTCTGCAAAGCACTTCAGTATATGAGAAATATCCTGCATCTGACAGCACAGAACGATGTATAACGTGGATGAAAAATTACTTTCCTATTACTCATGCTAAGGAGTAAGCCCTACTTCAGGATTATCCTGTAAACATCTCCAATAACACATCTATACTTTGTGCCTTCGTTGTCTCCTAGAAGACCTTTGCTATCCAACTACATGTCCAGCATTTTACATGCAATAACTGGAAAGGGTACCCTATGGTCAAAATCGTCCTTTTTCTTATAACCAACAAAACAGCACAGCTCTGCTTACACAGACTGCGAGTGGAACAGTTTAATTAATTAATTTGTTTGGTGTACATAAGAAGTGGCTAAACTTTAAATTACCCAAACCAGAAGTGGATAGGTTTTCTTGACTTGCAAATATCCTGAGTACACCCTGGGTAACAAGGAATGAAAGACATCTAGAATCTTAGATCTTCCTTTCCCTGCCGGCCAACACCATTTCTGAACCCAGGAGTCAGATATTCCTTAGGCTGGCTAGCTACGACAGCTACTTATCTGCTTAGTTAAAAGCTGCCTATTCCATTTATTACAGATGACCAAGTGATTACCTGGTGTTTCACACTTTCCTGCAAGAAGAAGCTACTCTTCTATATTAATGGAACATAAATATGCAATCAACTGCTGTAGTAATTTACGAGAGCAAACTCTCAGTTATACCTGTCTGCTCCCATTGAATTAGAAACCTTTACATTTGTCATAATGATTATAATCAGAAAATTAGGAAAACAGAAATTTAGTCTTGTTTCAATTGTCAGGACTTTTTACTTCATTGGCAATCATTATTAAAGATTATAACCTCAACAGAACAGAGACACTTGGCGTCTATATCATGCCTTAGGCTTAGTAGACTCTGTCTCATGATACCTCTTTGAGTGGGCACTGATAGCATAATGCTGTATGGTGAGGTACAGAGAGTACTTGGAGCAACTTAATATAACAGAAAGGGATGGGCATATAGTCTAGCTTTCATCATCCATGGTTTTCTGCGCCATCAGAACCATCATACTCTACACAAAATGTTAAACTTCCAAATACAACATATTACAGTCATGCAAGAAAGCAAATGGCACAAAAGATGAATATATATACTGAGGCACATGAAAATGAATGTCATATTGATGCCCCTTTTTAATATTTTAAATTTCAATGTTTGCAAATATCATGCTAAATTATGGTCAAATTCTGATGTTTTAGAAGTAACTACTTCATGACAGAAATTGATTGAAAGCTGAACAATCAATAATTGCATTGCAAATATTAAAGGAAATTTTTCATTTTAGTGTGCATCCAATTCCTCTAAAACAAAAGGATTTTTTTCATTTAATTGGGAACTTCTTTCAGTTTGAAAAACTTCACTAAAGGTCTATAATTACATATGAATTGCAATTATATTAAGATATATGGCTGTGAATGCTGGCTTAAACTTATGCTATGGAAAAGCATCACATTGCGTTCTGGCTTTGCATTCCTTTGCAAAGACACGTTTGCAGTTCTAGATCAAGTAACAGTGATGGGTAGAGATGAAATTTTGTATGCAGAGAGGAACCCTTTACTTCAAATAGAAAATACATTATTTGCTGTCATTCTTCTTGCCATTAAAAGAAGAAAAACAAAACTAAAAGCAAACAGAAAATGCCTCTATTCCAAAACGACAGACAAACTTTCTTTAGAAAGGGGCTGTGGTGGAATGGAATGGATTTGAATCATCATTTCTCACCCCTGTTGATAGTGGTCCTTTCAAGTCAGAGTTTAGGTAGATTGATGGAGCTGTGTGGGGAAGCTTGAATGCAGTGGGCCCTCCCCCTATGTATCTGGCCTGTATAAACAGAAAATTTTAGTTTCTGTGCTAACAGAGCATCTTTCATGTGTACTTGTCAACACTGTTAAACAGTGCACTGATTAAAAAACATTGTAGTGATCTACAATTAGGAAAAATCTACTTACAGGTATTATTCAGCGTGAAAAAACCCTTGTATTCAATAAGAGAATAAAATTCAGCATTTTAAAGTCATTTTCCACTAAGGATTAGAGCCAGACTTCACAATAAGCATTGGCTCAGCTACTCTTCCTCCAGTGAGTAACTCCATTTTCAGCTTACCTCTTGTATTCAGCACAGCCTACGCGATTCAGCGATGACATTCCTAGAGCTAACAGTAATCCGGTTATTGCTTTGTCAGAAATGCCACAGAATGATGGCTGCCCTTTGGTATATGTCTGATTACGGAGCTCTAGGAAAGATATCGCAGCATTACCCTGTTCATCCCATGTCACATCACTCAGGGAGTTCAATCACTGAAGAGTGGTGCTGCAGAAGTGACAGCATCTTTTACAAGAAAATGATAATACTTACTAGCTTAGTGTAAACATTCAATCTATCTATCCAGCCAGGACTCTGAATTCTTCCTGCTTTTGCAAGTTTTCATATATGAAATAAGTTAGTCTCATACGTATGAATACGCTCTTTCACACTTCAAAAGGTAGACTGCACAACAATATATTTCCATTCAGTATTTGCAGCTAGACTGAAAAGACAGGTTACAATTTGGCAGCTAAAGCAGATGTGTCTATGCCAAAATCCTCATTCCATAGTTTAGTTCTAACTCTGTTTCAGCAAGAGCGAGCACTAGGAATATTGCCCATCAGGAAGCATCAGACTGCAAAACAACTGTTAATATATACATGAAGCATTTTCTAATGAAATCTAACTTGCCATTATATTCATCACATAGCTAAATCTCCATTGTTTTATGCTTCTATTCATTACATTTAAAGTCAAAACCTTTTAAGATAAAATAGGTAGCGATTTTGCCATTAGAAAAAGAAAATCTTACCTTTTCTGCATTTACTGCAAAATCTGAGGCTAAAAGACCACCTTCAGTGTGATCATGGCCCACTTCATACATGTTATATGATGGATTGCCAATTTCTACATTGATTCCTCCATTTATAATGGGTTGTCTTCTGATAGTTTTTGTCCTACAATGCATTGAACACACAAGAAAGAAGCTAGTGACTTTTCAAATAATTTTTTGGAAGCTTCACTCTAAAATGCCATAAATTTTATTTTATTTCTCTTTAATCATTAAGTCCAACAGTATGAAAAAGTGTTTCCTGTGGAGACAATCAGAAAAATCATTGCATTTTTCAAACCAAGTGCCATCTGAGTCTATGTGGAGATCTCACATCAGCTGGAAGTAGCTTTTTATTGTTTTTCTCAGTTTGGCTGTAGTGCTATGCATACATACAAAGTGCTCACTCATCGTCTATAACTCTGCCTTCCTCCTACTGTTTCCAGATTTCCCTCACTTCCCAAGGAAAGCCTTGCAAATTCATTGCAGATTCCGTGCAGTAATGAAGATGGAACAAATATGAGTCATGTTCCCTTTGCTCATTCATTTCACTTTCATTTGAAATCAGTTGCCCAAAGTCGGTTGTAATCTGAGGACAAGCAAATGGTTTCATTATGATGCATTAAAAATGTATGAAGTTCTCATAGTTCCAGTTTGCATTCCCTGCCAGTGCCTGTTGGAAAGCTGATGTTCAACTTGAATTTTTCAAAACTTGAATAAAAGATAAAGTCTTATTTTTAACCTTGAATTACGTATCCGTAAAGATAAGTGATTGAGTTGAATTGTTTTAGTTGCTGAATTCATTTCTTTTAGGTAAGGAGGTATTTTAGTCTGAGCATTTGAAATATCTTCAAGAGGGCAATTTTTCCCAATGCAATATTTTCTCTGGAATTACAAGGGAATAATAGGGAGGTCACGTCAGGATGATAACAGTAGGGTCCTCTTGTTTGGTTGAGAAAAGATGCAGTCAGTGTCTGAAATCCAGTATCTGTATTTTTCAGAAATGGCACAGAAAAAACATTTCCTATAATAAGCACTTATCTATAGTCTACAAGTGCTGAACATCTATACCTAATTTAATACTTGACAGTCTTTGAAGAAATTTAAAAAAATCCTAATATGCATTTTCAACTATAATTTTAGGGAAGAAAAGTTCTTTGCTAAGGTTAGTTCTATTTCTCTACAGAAGACCTATTATTTAACAAGTTATTTTCAAGAACTTGTTCCACTTAAATGATTTACAGACCAGCAACTGTGTTTCAGGATGTGGTTATCACTAAATTTGCTCTTTAGGTACAGGGGCACACGATGACATTCATGGAGGCTGGCAGTGTATCGGCATTACTAAGAGCACGGTCATGGAATGTATTTATCTTCTTGTCTTTTCAAAAAGGATTTAAAAATTAATGCTTGCTTAGCACCACAGTTTGCAGGGAGATGCTTGATGATAGTAATTTAAAAGATTATTTTACTCTAGAGGACTGCAATAATCCAGGTCTTCTCTAGTTGGCCACATCCTTATTATTTGGAGTCTTTCCTTGTTAAATCTGCATTGCCACTAAGATCACTTTCATGTTGCTGGGAACACAAGGAAGTTGGCAGCTCTCTCAGGTGTCTGCATACAGTAGAAACACCCTTACCTCCCTAAGCCCACCCAACATGGCCTTTGCAAAATGCCTACAACACTCCCTAAGTCCATTATCAGCGCTAAGGCAGCTACGTTCAAGAGAACAAAAGATTCACTTTCAGCCCTGGAACTTGGCTTCCTGTGCAAGATACTACAGAAATACAGGAACGACGACAAAGCTTGCGACTCTGCAGCAGATACTTTGAACATCATTTACATCTTTACCATATCTTAAAAAAAAAATTGAAAAGAACTAATCAAAGTAAATAAATTGAAGTAAACGATAACTAGAATCAGCAAATTCTGCATAAACTCTATCTGAAAGCATTTATGGACTTGAACAATATTATATGGTTCCAATGAAATACAGTACTACTAAGTTCACTAAGTCTCTGGATAAAATTATTAATACTTATACAACCTTGGCAGGACTGAGCAAACTGGATAAGAAAAGAACTACAATTTCTCACTTAGTGTATGTGGAATATAAGGATAAATAATAGACATGACTGTTGCAGCAAGAACCAAAACATAACTAACGTGCTGCATCCTGAAACAAGTTTGGGTTTTTTTTTTTTGGTTTGTGTGGTGTGTTGTGGTTTTTTTAATATCTGCTCAACATATAAAAAGGTTTTGGTCTTCTTTTGTATCAGAAAGATGCACATACTTTTTTACTTCATATTTCAGTATAAAATTACTTACCTTCGTTTCCTTTTGCAAAGAAATAGTCCAATCACCAAAGTAGTGATCAAAGTCACCAGTAAAACAAGAGGAACAATGATCGCAATGCTTCCTAAAACAGAAAAAGGAAATATCATTGAATATTCACAGCTCCATCTAATAATTTCTTCACAGCTGTAAACCAGTTAATTTAAAAAGAATAATTCCCTTGACCAACAAATGCAATTTCATATGATGAGCTTCACCAATCTGAGATTTTAATGTTGATCAATAAAACAAAATATCATTACAGATAATGGTGTACCCACAAGTAATTTTATTAACAAACCTGGAGCTTCCTCTTTCTGGACACTAAGATACTTCGGATTAATTCCCTGCCCTCGTTTACAGTGATGCCATATGAAGGTGTGTGGAATTGCTGAATATTTTGGTTTGGAGTGGAACGGCCGCTGACTTTAACTGCCACTGTTGTCTTCTGTGGTTTATTTAATTCCCCCAACTATTAATTTAAAGTATTCAGTAGGCATGGCTCTGATTGAAGAATTCCATTATTAGCATTTATATGCATTTATTACTTCTATTTGTGGGAAAACATAAAGTAGTAATATTCATGTCTAGATGGTTGGTGCATTCCTCCATTTCATTGCATTGTACTTGAGAGCCAATAATTTTGCTATGTTGATATAGGCAATCAAGGAAACTACAGTAATGCTTAACGTAGCAGAAAACCAGTGCGCAGATCAGACAGCGATATGAAAGGAGAGAAGGAAGTAGGGAAGAAGAAAATGGGCTTAATGGCATTTTGGCAGCTAACTTCATTGAAATGAGGGTACCTGCAAAAATAAGGTCAGAAATGTACCCTTCTAAGAATTTCTTAGCTTAATATGAGTGTCTTGCAATAAGGAAATATATGCAACAAATAACTTTATCCCGTAACAGCTCTGAGACTGGTTCTTATAATCTATAGGACTCCAGTATAAAGGCAATGTGGAATGACATGCATTTCTTTTAATACCACAATCCCTTATTGGTGGTAAACAGAAACACTGTTCACTGTTTCACTGGTTAGATTCACTGAATTATTAAAATATAAGCTGTTGGCAGTCTCTGCTCTGCATTAAATGTAGACTAAATACAGGACTGTAAAGGATGCCTTGAAACCTGCCTGAAGTCAGACTGTCAGAAGCCCAAATTGAACAATTACTGAACAAAAACCAAAACCATCTTGAATTCACTTCAGCTTATGAAACTTTAGCACATAAAGGACATTTGCCTCAGTAGGTAAACACTCAAGAAAACAACCTGTAAAAGCAGCCCACCAGGTGTGAGTTGCCATCTGGTGACTAAAGTGCAGCCGTGGAGCCATCTAGGAGCAGGGAGAACAAATGCCCATTTCCCAAATCATAGCAGGTATTCCCTCAACATGAAATACTGATCGAGGTTCTGGCTGCTATTTTGCCTGTTTCCATCTTATAAGTGTTATTTCACTTGTCTGGATCACTAGGAAGATTTAATCTAAGCATCAAGCTGACCTGAATAGTGAGCAAATCATTCTACTGCTCCAGTTGGCTTAAATGTGACCGAGAGACGTACAGCAGGGTACCATCAGCATACTCAGTGCACCACAGGGAACCCTGTCCAGTTTAAACTGCCAACGGTGTAGCAATACCATCCTTTTATGCTGACAGACATGTTTTAAAAAAATACGACAGGAGCTATTCTTGCTTTCAGGATGATTTTCACAGTAGGCAGAATTCAAACCTCTGCGGACAGCCAATGCAAAAGTTATGAACTACTTACAACTCTATTTTTGATGCTTTCAGTAGGACTTAAATGGTCAGAGGTCTCGTACCAGTTCTCTGCACAGCAGTGATATCACCAAGCACTTGCCACTTGATACACTTTCTTAAAGAAAACCGCAAGCTAGCCCTTGAATCAGTGAACATAGAGCATGTGGTTTGCATCCAAACACCCTCATGAAACATGAATGTCAAACAAAAGGTTGAGAGAGAGCTACATTTGGTCAGTTGGTTGGTTTTTTTTTCTAAATAAAGGTAACCAGCACATTTCATGACACAAACTCACAGTCTAAAATACCCCCGGGTTAAAATGTCTAAACTGAGTGCAATTCAACAAGCAATAACAGTTATTTGATGTACTTACTTGTACTGATATTGTCAGACTTGCTGCTTTTGGGAGCTGGCCTCTCACACTGTGTGCCTGACCAGTTGGCTGAACATCTGAAAGGGTCCAATTAAGATGGTAAAGTTAATATGATAGTTAATAGATGTCAGCTATTAACACACGAACCTATTAAAGAGACCACCAGCATCTTGAGAGCAACACAAATGACAGCAGTGATTCTACACCATAAAGAATACGCTTCACGGAAGGAGTCAGCAGTATCCTGCCATGGCACACACAACATTCTGAGTACATGTTTAGTTTAAAACTACAGCTTTGTATCTTCAATTCCTGTCATTATAATTGCAATCTTCATTCCAGGGTCCTTTTCTAAAATTCTTGAATAATAAAACAACAGGCACAATCAACAGTATATTTTCGTCCTATTAAGCCAATTACCAACTACAATGCAATATTGAAGGAACAATTGATCCATGCATAGCCAACTTAGCCTAGCGACAATTATTGGTTAAGGCACTTTATTTGCACCATATTGTTTTAGTATCAGCTTTAATCTAGAACCTCTAATGGCCACATTCACAGAATCACAGAATATGAGGAGT